GTTCATTTTTTACAGGCACCGCTGTGGGTGCTAGTGAACACGGTTAGTTCATGCCCACCCTTCTTTCATTTTTCTTTTCCCAGTGATTGATAAAATAACGGAATCTGAGAGATCAGGATCAAACATCTATAACCTTCTTGTCAACTAATTTGCTCTGTATGTTACCACCAGAGCCAGGAATAGACTGCTTTCCTGCAGAAGTCAGTATCGGTGAATATCGTTAGTAATATAAATTGAGCATTGAACTAATTGGAAGTGGAATTCCATCCTGTACCTGTTCCAGGGCATGAGATGGAATAGTAGAAACTCTAAAAATGAGCTTTCTGCTTTTTAAGCACAGAGAGATGTATTTAACCCTTGTTTTATATAGGTAGGAACAGTTCATGCTTTCAAGTGGCAGGATTTGACCTGAAGTTTTTATTTCTTCTTATCTTTATTAGACTTAATTGACCTTTCTGTGCTTGGAAAAAAAATGTCAAGTACTCTAAAAGATCCTTATTTTGTGACAGAAGTGTTGGTTTTATTCAGCTGATGACCGGTCTTTAAAAAAAAAAGGTGATAGGGGATAAAAGGTTAGAGAAATCATTTAGGAATTGAGGATTAGTTCCTTGCTTTACCACAGATTTCCTATGTTAAAATGAAAAACTGTATTAGGAAATTGTGGGCTTTAATTTAGAGGTACCTATGTTGTGGTAACACTGCCCAGATTGCTGTTGAGTAAGGAAATGCAGCATGTTGAGTCATGGAAGCCTTGCCTCTTCCGAGAAGTGTTCCAGCAATGCTGAAATGCGTATGGTAGGGTGCAAAGGGGGCCATTTTGTACTCCCAAAACATTCTGTAATCTGAAGTGTTTGGGAGGAGTTGCATTTTTATGGATGTCTCTGTCCTTTTTTCCCTTTAAAAATAAAATAAAAAAAAATCCAAAGACTTTGCCAGATAAACTTAGGAGCAATGCTTGCTATTTTTAGATGTTTAATATTTTGATGAGAAGACATTTCATTGTTTTTCTATTTATAGGTAGTTTTTTATATAATTCAAATATTATATTAGAATGTCTAATAAACAGAAAAAAAATGGCCATAGTATCATCCACTCTTGACAAGGGCACTGTGATGAGAAATTATTATGGTTTAAGTCTTCCCCTGAACAGTGCAGGCTTCTTGTCCTGCCAGCACATCTTTGTTATTGTTGAGAATGTTTATCTGATCCCACTTTGCCATAAGGTTCAGTTTTGAGAAGAGAGCACTACAGAAAGGACTGTTAGCATATGACTGGTATGCACTAAGTAGCTGTAGTCATGGTGCTTAAAGATCTTCCAGAACCTTGCAAGCAATCTCTGGAATCTGTTAGATTCTGAAACTATGCAAACAGTCATTAAACACATCTCTTGACTCTGTGAATATTTTCTTATGAGCTCTGATAAAGTAAAACTGTATTAAGCATTGCATTTTGCTTTTCTAATACATGTTTTTCAGATGAATGTTTTAGAAAAATAGAAGATGGATTATTGTTCACCACATTGATGTATCTGTTGCAAAGTATAAGGGGATTCCTGGTGGCTCGTGCTAAATCTGGGTGCTTGCTTTCATGCTCTTCAACATTAGTGAAATTTAGCCTTACGTGCTAGTCAGGCTGCTGTGCTGTGCAGCGAGGCCCCGGGTGCACTCACCACACTTGCTTGTTTCAGGCTACTATCTTAATAGTACCAAAGTGGCGGTGAAGACTCTGAAGCCTGGAACGATGTCTGTGCAAGCCTTCCTGGAGGAAGCCAACCTCATGAAAACCCTTCAGCACGACAAACTAGTTAGGCTTTATGCTGTAGTGACTAAAGAAGAGCCTATTTATATTATAACAGAATTCATGGCAAAAGGTGAGAACAACACAACAACATGTAAGCAATGTTTTTAAACAGTTTTTGCGCTTCTCATGAAACAATCCTTTTTCTCTAAAAAAGAAAGGAATAAAGAAAAGAGTGTTTTAGATTTTAGCATTATTCTTATGTATATTTTCATGTCATTGGAAGAAGCACCTATCTTAAGAGGGTGACTTTAGGAGGATTTCATCTTATAATTCGTCACTGCATTTGTTAAGTAGATTATTTTTACAGGCTTCTTTAGATGAATGATTTTTGAAATGTTTCAAGTGTAACTATAACCCACCAAATAGCTCTAGTTACTGCAGGTTCCCTACCTAACTTTGGTGTCTGGTGCCATAACAAGACACTTTCTAGTTAAAGCAAATCTTAGAAATCTCCTTATTTTTTAGCTCTACAGATGATACTCATCTGTCTAATGAGGCAGTAACGAGTACTCATGCAAGATTGCTGCTGCGGTAGAAAAGCACATTTTTAGAGCAGCACTACACAGACTAAGTGAAGCTTCCTCTTCATATTGTTTTGGGTAATGATGTTTTTGTTTTATTCTATTGTCAAACAGGTCTGCTGATGACTTTATAAACAAACAACAGTAACCTATTCTTTATGACTTGGAAAGGATTAATATGTGTGATTATCCTAGACAGCTTTCTAGGCCATAGAAAGCTGTTCTATGATAGGCCATAGAACAAGGTAATTATCAAATTTAACACCACTGACCTAAGGCATGGCATGGTGAGGTGACCTGGAAAGCTGCAGAACTTAGACACCCAACATGCTGACCTGGATACGGCTATTATCAGAATATGTAAAGAACCTGCAGCTCGTTGTAGCCAACTTGAAAATGCCTCAAAACATTCACTGTTAAAAATGTATGATCCAGAAAACTGCGAGACTGATGTTAACTTTATTTTGGTAATGAGGTATGCTGACTTGCTCCCTCTCTCCTGACAGGGAGTTTGCTGGATTTTCTGAAAAGTGATGAAGGAAGTAAATTGATGCTTCCAAAGCTAATAGACTTCTCAGCTCAGGTAAGTTTTAAGAATTATGTTCAAAATTAAGAGATTTTATTTATCTGTTGGGTTGAAATTCATGCTGGGCAATGATCCTAAAAATTTTGTCACTAACAAATAATTTCAAGGTGTTTTGATCTGAATAAATAAGGTTATTGAAAGGAGTAAATAGAAAAAAATATACTTTAAAAGAGCCTGCAAAGTTGGAGCTACTTCTTAGATATTGGCAATGATCATCTTGGGTGACAGTGGGACAGTCATGTTTCTTTGTGGAAAGCCTGTTTCGCTTTCAGCAGCTGTGAGGTGAAAGTGTAAGCAGAGGCCCTGTGGAGTGGGGCTCTGCGAATTGCTGCAGCGGTGTTGATAAAGGGGTCAGTTTTTCTTTTTAAGGTAAGACAATTCATCAAACCTTTCTGTTAACCTCAGCACAGCACTGCCAGTCTCAGAGTTCCTCTGAAATAAATGATGTCTTTCCAAAAGATGTTTCAGATTTCTATCATCTGATGTATGAACCTTGCTCATTACTGCAACGTATGCCAGATATCCCGTGTCATATATAACCAGAGTGATGTGCATATCAAGGGCCTCCTAGAAAAGGTTGGATCTTAGGCTCATAGGTCACTTTACGTAATAGTTGTCACATCAGGAGTGACATTGTAAGTCATCAAGGGAGACTAGAGCCCCGTATTCTGCTTCTGACAGTGACGAGCAGAGTGGTCTAGGGAGGCATGGGCAGGGAACAGAGCCTGCAAGTTGTGATTCATGCTACTAATAAATAATGAAGGCATTTTGAATGGGATATTGGTTCACCAGTTTTCCTGTTCTTTTAATAGGCATTAGACTTGTAGAGACTGTTGTAACTTGTTGTACTAATTTGCTGATTCATTAGCAAGGGCAAGAAAAATATTAAACGATATAATAAAACATAGATGATTTATGCCAAAATGTTCACTATAACATTGTCATATAACTACTCAATATAACTATTGTTATATAAATGTATGTAGCTGTATGTTGTTATGTATTGTACATTGTTATACAGGTATTCAGTGTAGCTATTGCAATATCTATCTATTACAGATTTACTAGAACTCATGTGCTTTATGTAGATATTGTTTGAGGTATCAAGTGTGTGGAAGTTGAGGTTATTGCCTTTGGTAAATTCGTTAACTTGAAGACCTGCATTTAGAAAACAAAGACATAGGTTCAATACTCAGAGCTGGTTTTGCTGCAGTTGTCTCAGTACAGCTGCAGGTTACCACGTTACTAAGTTTCTAGAACTCTATGGATAGCTTGTCCTTGAGAATTTAGAGGAGATAAAAGTTTTGTGGGTGTGGAAAAACCTTGGTTCTAAGTCTTGGCTGGGAGATATGAACAACAATGGACAGAAAAGATCGAGGGAAAAAAGAAGTTATGTAACTTTCAAAATAGTGCAAAAAATAATGAGAAAAACACTTGAGTAGTGATACAGTATGAGATCCAGGATGTGAAGAGCAAAGAACAAGTGGCTTTACAATAGACCATTTTAATTGAAGTTCAGGGATGTTCTACGGTTTAAAGCTGTGTATCATTTTCAGAAGTTCAAGATTTGAAAAGGTTAAAAAAATAGAGGGGAAAGGTCAAAAAAGAAAGTTGATTACAGCTTGTGTACATCATTTCCAAGGTGGCAGAGGTCTGTGATCCTCACTTACGAGCTTTTGAAGGACTGAGTCACTGCAAAAGGACATGACTGGTCACCCTGATCTGACAGTAGCTTCTCTTAGAGCCTCTTCCTGCACTGAGCCTCAGAGGCCAGGACTTTATGGGGGCAGGTAGTGTGCGAATCCTCTCACTTTTGTAAGATGTAGACCAGCTACCAAGGGAAGTGTCTGAGGACAAGCCATACATTCAGCTGCAGAGCCATCTTTAACCCTTCTTTGAGGATTTCTAACTATGGACCGAAGAAAACTTTGGAATAGAGATATAGATTTTTTTATTGACAGAAAGAACTTCATAGTTTCTTCAAGTACGTTTGCAAAGATTCTTCAGTATCATTCTGTAATAGCAGGACTATATGGAATAGACTTGCAGGCTGCATATTGTTCTGAGACCAGGAATTTTGCTGCTTTCTGTGCACAAAAGACAACAGTTATCAGAGTGGAAGATGCAACAACAAACAAATTTCATCATTCTTTCTTTTCTAACCCTAACAGTCTGTGAACACTGAATTCACTGTTTTTTAGGGTCAAGCACACCTATTTTCAAACTTTATTGGCCTGCTACTAAGATAATGATAATTTCACTGCATGCCTGTGGATCACACTCTTCAAGAATGTTGGCTACACATAAAATAGGAGAACATAAAATATGCTCTCATTTTTGGTGCATATTTGTTTTTTTATAAATGGATGGTGTTTATCCTTACATCATTACTGTTAACCTCCCTGTGTAGCCTAAGAGGAAGGAAGTTTGACAAGCAATGTCTCAGAAAGTGCAAGAAGAGGCATGGCGACAAACTCCATGCTGAACTATTTAAATGAGATCGGGCATGTATTTTAGCTTGGTTGATACACACATGAATTCTGCACGACTGTCTAATTCACACTATGCTGCTAATGCTCTTTCGTAGCCTAACCCAGCTTCTCCGGAAGGCTGAAAATGCCACAACTGGTAGCTGCGGATTATACCTCTCCTGTGATGCTGCATTAGACTGTGTCGCTCACAGGCGCCCAGCGCGGCCAGCTCGCTTGTGTCCACGTGTGCGCACACAGCACATCTGCCAAAGTGAAAGTTTCTGAGAGGATGCTACGTGTGGCAGAAAAACACATTAGCAAAGGGCTTGCCATGTGGCGAGTATGAGCAGGAAGCGGTTCCACTTAATAGGGAGCCTTTTTATCCAGAGGAATGGCCTTTGTCACCTTGCAATGGCCTTGTCAGATAAGGAAGGATTGGGAATTGGAGAAGGGGAGAGGAGAATGTGGTCTGTTTGCTTAACAGATGGCTGAAGAAAGTAGTAGCCCCCAAACTTGAACCTTCTGCTGAAACCATTTTCTCAAATTGTGTTAAAAGAGTGCTGTACTGTGGGACAAGTTAGTGCTACAATCACTGAATTAGTTAAGCCTTTCCCTTGAACAATCCTGAAAGAAATCTTCCCAGTTTACAGGGGAGAAAATGTTCTGATTTTGGAAAAAAACAAAAACAAAAAAAAAACAAGGATTTTAGATAAAATAAACATCTTAAAAATTAAAGTTTTTCAAGCAAGTAAGCAAATATTCTTCTACTGTACTACACTGGCTTTGCTGTTTTGTTAGCTCAGTCTGTGGACTCATTGATTGCCAATTTAGCAGTAGTAGCTGAAGGCTTACTTAGTTACACTTGGAAATCTAAAGCCTACTTTAGCAAACACCTATGGGCTCCAGGATTTTTCCTCTGTGCTGACATTCACAAATTCTGAAGTTAGGCTTGTGCAAAACATGGCGAGAAACTTCTCGCTCAGAAGGTGGTCGAGCGCATTTTCTAAAATCATCTGCTCTCTGAAAGACTTGAAGTTTCTCTTCTGTATTTTACTGGTGTGTGTGAAGGGGGGTGGGAAAACCCAGTCTTAGCTGTGCCCTGGCAAAGATAATTTTGGCCTCTAGAGAAAACTGCGTGAAGTCTCTGAAATGAGAGTGTTTTAAAGGAAGCAGTGTTTCGCAAACTTGTCTTCAGCAAATACTGCTTGCTACGATAGAAAACAATTGGGCAAATCCTGCTCAACTCAGCAGAATTGGGCAATGCAAATACACACTATACCCGGAACAGAATCGGGAATCTGAGCAGACCAAAACCCGGTTTCCCTGAGCAGACCAAAGCCCGACCCATTTCCCTGCACTGGCTGCGCGTACGCAGGGCAGGGCAGCAGCTTCATGGGCTGATCGGGCAACTTCCACGGTGCTGCAGGCGGCAGCTCTGGCTTTACCAACAGGGCCATTTCCTGGTGCTTTGTCAGCTCCGCAGCTGGGCTGGGGAAGCCCAAAGGTTTTATGAGCTGCAGCTTCCCAGCTGTGAGCTGAAATGTTGGGCAAACCCCATCCCTCTGTCCACCAGCTCCGGCATTTTCCCAGCAGAGCAGCCATGCAGCTGGTAGCCTCATTAGTTCCCTCACCAGGGTGACTAACAAGCTCTGGTGGTTAGTGGGTACATTGTGCCCTGCCCAAGGGCTACTTTAATTTATCAGAAAAGCTTTGCACTTCTCAAAATCTTACTTATTTCTGTGTTATGAAATCAGCTAAAAGTGTAGGGTGCAAATTCAGTGAAGTTTTTGCATTTATAAACTCCGCATGCTTTGGGGACTCATCTCATGCAAAGCTGTTCATAGACTGTCTGCATTTGAGAATTCAGAAAATAATCTGAATAATTACTGAACATATTAAAGTTCTGCTTTTCAAACTAGTCAAAACTGTATCACAAAAACAGTTTGGGTTTTTTTATTTTCCTTTTCCATAAAACGCTGATACTTACTTTAATTTTTCTGCAATCTGCAATTTATTTCTTATCCCCCCTGCCTTATTTCCTTTTAAGACTACAATGCCATTAGAGTAATAATAAAGTTAATATTAATGCAGATTTTTGATACAGCTTTAATCCCTCCGAATTGCAGCCTCTTCTTAGGGACACGCTCTCTTAAGAACTGAGAATTACTGAGTTTAAAGCAGCCCGAGCCTTGGGATACGCTGCATTCATTGTTTCCTCTGCTGACCTTCCTCTGCAGATAACCCCTGGCGCCGCGACGCCTTCCCACCGGCCTCCCCTGTGACGCGGCTCCTGGGCCGCCCCCGCTGTTTCACCCGCCGTTTCTCCTCACAGCACGTGGGGCTCCCCCGGTGAGGGCAAGCAGGGGGAAGGGGCTGTGGCCAGGCCGTCCTGGGCCGTATGGGTCCCTCGGGACGGCCCAGGAGGCCGCTGCGAGACCTCTGGCAGCTGCAGCGCCGTGCGGCCAGTTCTGAGGCTGCCTTCGGGCATAGGGCCCCGGCGTCTGCGGCCTGCGCTCCCCCCTGCAGCTTTCAAGCATGGGTCTTGAAAAGAGTAAAAAGCCACATTTATTAACGCAAAAAGAAATATCTAAAAGTATACCTAAACTATCGCAAAGTAAGCATTTCTGTGTGATTTCTGTTTCAGAGCATAGCTGAAATACATCTGTAAAGGACTGGGACCGTCTTACCCAGTGTTTCCCAATATTTCACAAATCATAGGGCACACCCTCTGTTTTTCCCCAGATTGGACTTCATTTATACCCACATAAAAGCCAGACTCGGCTTTGAATACTGACTCATCTAGTACATTTTCCCCATTTTACTCACCTGCCTGCAAGTGAACATGTGTGACTTTGGTTTTACGCACAATTTTCAGGTGTCTCATAAATCACCAAATTCAAAAGACTTGTTAGAACCCAGTTCCAGCTCTCACAGTTGGGATATTTTTGTAATCTAACCTCACCATTTGCTGGTGTTTCCAACCATATAAACCTTATCCAAACTGTTCTTTTTGAATACTTTGTTTACAATTACTATGGTTACACCTGCTCTTGTAGTTCTTCCTGAAGACTTGTTTCCCATGAGGTTCTACATATTGCTCCTCCAGGCTGTTTGAAATTTGCCTTCCTGAAATTGTTGTGTTTTATTGCCATTCTGTCATTCCATTTCTTTTCCATTCCACTTTGTTTCATGATCCCGCTCCCTCAGCTTTATTTTTCAACGTGATATAAAAACAATATATCATGCTGAGCCTAAACAAGCTTCTCTGGTCTCTTCAGTGCACCGCATTTTTACATATAGCCTAGAAACATACATGTGGGTTATGTTACAGCATTACCATAATTCTTGCTCTCTGTCTTAAGGAGCAGCTTGGCAAACCGTATTGAAAACATGTCTTGTTTGAAAGAAGGTCGCGAAGGAATTTGAAATGAAAGATGTCTTCGTGGATTGAAAAACGAAACAACTGAGGAATCCAGAAGTTCCCTAACTATGTAGTAAAAAGGAAAAAAAAAAAAGCGTTTCCCCTTTTGAAAGAAGGGTGGGAGGTGAAAGACCACAACTGCCCGGCCCTGTCTGCTGCCTAACTGCAGCAGGGACATTTCACCAAGCAGGTGCGACAAAGTGCCTTTCATTTGCAGGAGGTGTAGCCTTTCAGTGAATGTTGAGTGTCCGCTCCTCATGCGTGGGCAAGTCCTCTGCTACTTTTACCATGTTCTCCAAACAACCTCAGAAAGTACAAAGAACTGGTCATAAAGTATGAAATACTTGTTCCAGCAACGCTGTTTAGTCAGTGCTTTTGCTCCTCTTTTCTTTCAGGTTTTTTTAAACCTGTACTCATCTTGAGATGACACCTAGGTGTTCTGGAAAGTTGGCCGTTTGCTTGCCCTGTTTTACAGATGGGAAGAACTGGAACGGAAAGAGCATCACCAGTTGAAAATCACACAGCAAATCAGCAGAACTCAAGGCAGAACTCAGCTCTGACTGATTTACTGTGTGATTTTTAGGTGAAACTTTGCACTATGGAGGTGTCTTATGGAGATATGCCTTGTGCCTTGTTTCTTCCAAGAGTTACTTGTCATTTTTATGCTGTGTACATAGTTCTAGGATGTAGAAATTGGGTGTTTTTTTGTTGAGAAACAAATTAACGTAGGTAGTTTTAGAAGCATGTCAGTGGTTCATTAAATGGGAAGGGGAAACTGATCTCATTTTGATAGTAACAGCTGTGCAGTGTAGGCAGAAAATAAGTGACAGCCCCCCAGAATCTTCCTGTCCTTCTCCTGACCAGTAGTCAGGTATAGCTAAAATGTCTAGATAGGTGCAAATAGTCATTAGAGCAGGGGGTCAGGGTGTTTTCATATGTTACTTTTGTTCACCTGAATACCAGAATTTTTTATTCACTGAACATTTTGACATTGACAATTTGTCACTGGTTACCACTAATTACCATAGGCAGTAAACATGTGGGTTCTGGCACTGTTTCCTAGATTAGTTTATTCTTTTTTGTTGTTACTGTTGCAACAACCTTTGTTGCAAGCAAAGGTTTAACAGGAGTGTTTGAACTGAGTTGCTCCATTCCTGTGTTTTCCCCTCCTTCTCCCACTCACAATTGCTTTGCTACTATTCTTTCCCTGTTTGGGAATTGTTTGGGTGCCCAAGTGTTTGTACATACCTGGAATCTTTGGTTTTCTGCACAGTTCAGTGTGGCCCAAACCCTTGCCCTGGGATTTTATGGAAGTGTAGTTTGTATTTTCTGAAAACATAATGTGTTGTTTGGTATCACATTCTTAAATTGTGACTAATCGCAGTGACTTCCGTGGGTCGGGCACAAATGGGAGGAACTAAAACTTGGTGTCTCCAATGGCTTCAGCTGTTAGGGCATAGAAAGTAAAACCCACCATCACAAACTTCTCTTTCACCAAGTGGTTCCTCATTCACCAGTCAGCAGTTTGGCCATGTGTTGAGCATGCGCAGGGAAGCGGGAGGGAAGCTGGTTCCTTCATAGCTGTTGATGTATTTTCAGTGACATTGGTGAACTTGTTTGCATTTCAGCTGTACCTGCCAAGCCAGACAGTGCAACTGCAGCTTTGTTTGGCGAGCAAAATCTTCAGTTTCTCTTCTCTTGCCTCCCCAAACCCAAGAAATCACAGCGGGGAGGAAGAGAGGGAGGGAGGCAACTCCTCTTCATCACAGAGTTTCCTCTGGGGTAGCATGAGAACCTCTGTGTGTTGTATAACTGAAATGTGAAGCTCTAGGCTGAAGAAGTGGCAATGTATTGGTTGAAGAAAAGAGGCAGTTGTGGGAGAAAGGGGTTATATTTTTCCATTGCCTAAAACAAAAAAGAGGAACAAAGACTGTGTGGTTTTGGTGGTGTAAGAGATAGTGTGTGTAGTTGTCATACCCCTTGGGGACTTTTTTAAAATGGATAAGCAAAGTAGCGTTAATGTTTTCTTAAAGTTCAGTTAGGTGCTCCCATCTGCTTCAAAGCAGAGATGAAACATGGAAGGTTTCGCTGAGAAGGTTTCTCTCCATCTGTTGTGGTGATGAAGCAGCTGCTCTATGGGCAGGCAAGGGGCTGCTGCTGGAAAAGGACCCTTCCGTCTGGCTATGTTAGCATTAGCATCCCTGAGAGATCCGTGCCTTCGCCATACGCTATGGGGGACATACATACAGAAACCTGTCACCCACGGACATTTAGCAGTAACAGCTGTAGCCAGATTAGACTGGCTCAGGAATGACCGATCCGCAGAGTCACACAAGGTGGAGAAGAACTGACCACAGAGTGTTTTCTTTCCTATCTCCTATCAAACTTTTGGCCAGAATGCTATGTACTCAGGAGTTTTATCGCTCTGAGGTTAGATCCTATTGTTTCATTTTCAGAAAAAAAAGTTAATAAAAATAGTCCGTAAAAATACTGAAAAAAAGAAAAAACATCAGTGCGTGTTGTGAGGACATATTTACATTTAATTTGGTTTGGAAATTAATTTTCGCTGCTTAAATAGAAATTAAGTTTACTTGTGATGATAGTACCCAAGTGCAGGGTCTTGCCAAATGCTCTTCACTTATGAGCAGATGCCTGTTGTTGTAAATGAAAATAAACAAGAAGTTATTTGACCTTGCTCAGTAGCTGCTTCCTGATTGTCCAGGCTTATACTAGGTAAAAAGAAAGTTTTGTTCTTTGATGGGGGGGGTTGCTTTTCATTTTGCCTCTTCTCTGTCTACACCGTTGCTTAATCAATCCTTAGGGGAACATCTGTACCTTCCATTTCATTATTATTTGGACAATAACCTGTTGTTAATTTGGAAAAGGAAAATTTGTGGTAGAATGAGGCTTTGCAGCTACATTGGGCAAGCAGAGCGTTCAGCACTGTGAGTGTCACTATGTGATAGTGAAATACCAAAAGCAGGATTTCTTCTGTTACAGATTGCAGAAGGGATGGCTTACATAGAGAGAAAAAATTATATCCACCGAGACTTGAGAGCAGCTAATGTCCTGGTCTCAGATTTGCTGATGTGCAAAATAGCTGATTTTGGACTAGCCAGAGTCATCGAAGACAACGAATACACAGCAAGAGAAGGTTTGTGTTTTTATTTTTTGTCTCTAAAGCCTCAGTCTCTGGCAGGCAGTGAGGCTCTGTCTAAAGATGATTTGGATTCCAGAAGATGCCATAATAACTTTCTAAAGGCAGCACTGTAATGCCAGCGTGTTTTTAAAAACACAAGCAAACAACGGAGCTTCTGCGCACAGGTTGTATTAGGGTCACTGCCTAGAGCTTTTCTGAGCTTGTTTCGTGGCTGGCTTTCCTGGCTTTCGTTTTAAAGGCACCTAATATTTTCACATGGTCTGGATGGAAACTGTGGTAATGTGGGGCAATAGTAGAAAATCAAAGGGAGGAGGAGGGAGAACAACGCGCCACAGCTGAGGCTGAAGGAAGATGGGTTGTTCAGAAGCACTAGGTAAGAGTAATTCAAGTGGAGTACAGCGGGAAGGCCCTGACTAAGCAGGTCTCAAAGGTAAAGAACCCATACCTGTGGCTTTTACCTAGCTCTGAGCGTAGTATAGTGCTTAAACAAACCTTTCACGTTGTAAATTCTTTATGCTGCGTTACACTAAAGTGCCTGTCTTTGAGTTTAGGTGTTGAGTGGAGTTTCCTAATGTAGCTGGCACTTTGTGCCGGCCGGCCACAGGAGGCTGAAAACGGGGAACCTGTTCGTGTTACTCTTCATGGCCTGAGAGCTAGGGCAGTATCCCCTGAGGAGCCTGTTTGAACCTGTCTTACTTAGGTAGAGGGAATTTGCATTTACAGGGGATATTTTGGAGTCAGTTAAGTAGAAAGCTGGTATTTTGAGATACAGCTGACAACTCTTTTGTATCTGAGACTTCTCAAATATCAGAATCTGATACAAGAATCATAGAATCACAGAATGCTTAAGGTTGGAAGGGACCTCTAGAGGTCATCTAGTCCAACCCCCCTGCATACGCAGGGTCACCTAGAGCATGTGGCACAGGGTGGCATCCAAGCGGGTTTTGAAGATCTCCAGAGAAGGAGACTCCACAACCTCTCTGGGCAGCCTGTTCCAGTGCTCTGTCACCCTCACTGTTAATAAATTTTTCCTTAAGTTCCTGTGGAACTTTTGGTGCTTCAGTTTGTGGCCATTACCTCTAGTTCGGTTGGTGGCCACCAGTGAAAAGAGGCCAGCACCATCCTCCTCACTCCCTCCCTTGAGGTACTTACAGACACTGATCAGGTCCCCTCTCAGTCTTCTCTTCTCCAGGCTGAACAGGCCCAGCTCCCCCAGCCTCTCCTCATAGGGCAGATGTTCCAGGCCCCTGATCATCCTTGTAGCCCATGTGTGTACACAGGCCTTAAAGTGTACATTGAAGCTAGATGGATTTTTCTCTAACCAGCTTTTCTCATTGCGAAGAAAGTCTTGCAGAGTCCCAGCCAATGGGCACGCTGTGTTATTCCCTGACCACTGGGCAGAAGGGAAAATAGTTGGTTAGCATAATTTGGGCAAAAATTCACAATACCCGAGAGTCAAAAGATCCAGTGTAACTTCAAGTGTTTTATTTGCAGCTTTGACACCAGGCTTACAGCCTGGTAACATGTGTCTTGCAGCCCATTTCTTTTGGTAACTCTTGAGCAAGAGGAATTGCTGATACCTTTGCTCACCTGGGGATACCATAGATAAGTCACTTAAGACCTTTTAATGGCTTGATATAGTGTTTAAATCTGCCTTTGACTGACTGAGAACATTTGGTTTCCTAGGGGCAAAGTTTCCCATTAAGTGGACAGCACCAGAAGCAATTAACTATGGATCCTTCACTATTAAATCTGATGTGTGGTCGTTCGGGATTCTCCTGTATGAAATCGTTACGTATGGAAAGATTCCCTATCCAGGTAAGGATGTGTGTTATTAGTACATTGTGTTTATACTTTGATGTTCTCTTAAAATAAAAAATATACCCGGGGAAAGAGCTGGTGCCTGACAGTAGCAGCAGCCATGATTAGAAAAGTGCGTCTTGCAGGTCACATTCGTGTTTCAAAGCCTAGAGTCACTGTGTGCATGAGCCATGTGCGTCTCTGTGGCAATTTTTAGCAAATAGACAAATATATTTATGTAGTCAAAAGAAGTTACAGTTGCAGCAAATACTGAATTGCAGTAAGAGTCACAGCCCCTGCGTTCTGCAGCAGCTGGTAGTGAGCAGCAAGGTGACACTGGGGGCTCAGGGCTGCTGCTAGAGGGGTGCTGGTGAAGGTGGTGGTTGTGGGCAAATATGAGAATATGAAACATTTTAAGTGAAAGTGCTAAAAAGGTCTGTTTTCACAGCGAATAGACTGTGTTTTGTCAGTGCTAGCTAAGCTAAACAAGAATGAAAGCAGAGCCTGAACAAGTGTGGACGTGCCACTGGAAACACTTACTGCTGGTGATCAGTGTGGCCCAGAGAGGAGACAACAGTGGAGTGTATGAGTAACGGGTAGCTGTGAAATGGTTATGATGTGTTTGTGCATCTCTTAAAAAAAATCTCTATACAAAATATGAATTAATGTTTTCAGCATAGAGGAACAGCTTGTGTACAGGATAGTTCTGTGTGCACAAAGATGTCTCATATCTCAGACAGGGCTGATTATCTGGCAAGCAAACTGCCTTCATTTAAGCTTTTAGGATTACAGAAAGTTAGCTGGAATGCTCCTGTCTGGTGGGCAGATGAGGGAAGCGGAGCCACATTCAGTTGCGCGGCTCATCTCACCTTCACAAGTGGAGCAACTTCTGAGAAGCAGCTTGAGGACACAGGCAGCAAAGGGAGGTCACACTTTTCATTCAAGCAGAGGCTTTCCAGTGCTTGGAGTGCAGCAGCTCTTGCTATTTAAACAGTGAAAACACGTTCACCAGCACTTGATGCACAGCTGGAATTCTGCATCCCGAAATGGCAGAGCAGTCAGGAGGCAGAGCCGGGTGGTCCCGGACTCTGGAGCGGGAACGGGAGGCTCTGCGCTCCTGGGCACGCGGAGCCCAGGCCTCTGCCCAGACCGCGGCGGCGGCAGAGAAGAACAAACCCCGTCCCTCCGCACGGTTCACACACAAGGCAGAGCCCAGCAGAGCCTCTCTGCTCCGCGAGGCTCCAGGCCAGCAAAGCACTTGGGCTCAAAAGCAGCCTCCTTGAACTCCAAGAAGTGATAGGGCTGCCTGCACAGCTGAATGTTTAAACATCTTCACAGGCTTTTTCTTGGTAAAATATGTGACTGGGTAGCAGAGCTTCCCCCAGTGCCCTCTAAATGGGAGCAACACCTGTGTCTTCCCGGTGCTGGGCTGCTCCCTTAGCCCCTGCCCGGCTCCCAGCTCGTCCCTGTGCGGGGACGGGATGCAGGTTGTTTGCGGCTGCCGTGAGGAGCCTCCGTCCCGCACAGCCCCACGAGCCGCCTCGAGACCGGCTCTGCGGGAGCACCGAGGGCCGCCCGGGCTGCGCGCTCCTCACACCGGGAAACAGGTGCCGTGTTTCTGTTTCATGAACAAAATCAACCCGTCAACCAGACTGCTCTAACTAGCATGGGAAAGTCTCCTTCTAGGGGAAGGGTGAGCAATAATTTCTTAAACACGGAAGAATTTTTATGAGCCCCATAAATAGGCCATGTGCTGAGGATGCAGCCGTCAGGCGGCAGCCAGAGGGAGAAGCCATTGGGCTGCAGCCTGGGAGTATTTACTAGTTTGCAGGCATTTGCTTGTGCAAAACTGGAAGAGACCTCCACTACAAATGAGAACAGGATCTTAAATAGCCCGTGGGGCCGATGCTGAAGAACCACAGGATAGCAAAATAAATGGGCGACAAGTTTATTTCACATAGAGAGGTGGGAGGTTTTGCAAGAGTGACCTGGCTGTAACCAGCAGGCATCATAGCAGCAATAATAGAATGATTTTCAGCTCTAACTGGAAAGCTTCAAAACATTATTTTCAGTTATTAAGTAGAAAGGATTCAGCTTAGAACTAGATATGAAATGGTCTGAGTTAAAATGACAAGCAGCCAGTACTGCTGTAAAGAAACCAAAGCAGGCGACTTGGCAGGAAGCGCTTCCAGCCAGGAACCTGGCGCCGTGGGAGCTCCGTGCTTACAGCCCGCTCTTTTCCTTCCTGAGACCCTCAGGGCAGTTAGCGGGACTGGACTTTCAGGAACCTCTCCTGAAACAGGAAACAATCCGATCTTGCAGGCAAGTTGAATTGGTGGCCAGAAGTGAATCCCAGGTGATTATACAGCATGTAAAATATTTGAAACATCCAGGTTTGCATTCCAGCTGTATCAGGTGCTCTTTACCAGATACACCTCTTCCCAGAGAGGGATTCCTTTCTCACACCAGTTGGGTTCCCGTCTTTTCCCTGGCTCTGCCACAAGGAGAGCTCTTCGCCCATGACGTTCACCAGGTACCACAGCGCTGAGCAGAGCCCCAATCCACAGCACTGGGCTTAGCTTCTTTGCAAGATGGGTGCAGGCGTCATTAGAGTCAGAAATACCAATGCATTTTACTGACTACAGGGTAGCTTGATGAAACAGTTAACTCTCTAGCCATTTAAAGAAAAAAAAAGTAGTTTTGGAAAAGTTTTGGCAAAGTTAAATAAGTAGCTGTTTTGAAAGTACTAGCTGGAACCCAGGGCAGACAGGTTAGCTGTTGTGCTTACCAAGCAAACAACCCCGATCCAGCGCGTATGCGAGTACGGTCGTGGCGCACTAGGGGTAAAGGGCTTCCCAGGTCTGTCGTGTGTCCTGAAGCGGTTCTTTCACAAACTGGCGTCCTGCAAGTTTGCCGAAGCAGCGTGTTTGTCCTGGGCCTGCAGCACGCAGCAGAATCGGTGCTGCAGGCACGAGGTGCGAGCACAGCCTTGCACAGCACCCGACC